ACAGGATTGAGTTGAAAGGTCGAGGGAATATTCGCAGCGGTACCTTGGGGAGTTAGAGGCACTTCAGAAGAAGTAACATCCTATACCTAGGGGATCTCCTCATTGTTGGTGCTAGTTCGCTCGGTTTCATGACCACGGGCCATTTGTTCACAAGTAAAACTGCTTGATCGAAGATTCTGAATGAAAAGCAAATATGAAATATGTGCCCTCCTTCTAGTGTCAAACTATTGATGCGTGCTTTTGACACCAAAGACCTCGCACATGCAAAGTGCTAAGCTGTTCTTAGAAATTACACATGAAGATTTACGATCAGATACAAAGATTAAATAGTAAATGAGAGATATGATTTTTAAAGTGGTTCGGATCATGGTTATTAGTATCCCACGATATGAGATATGTATCCTACAATACGATTCGATATGGGTCACCAACGATACGTATCAAAGAGTGTATCCTAAACCTTTCGATACATTGATATGTATCCTACGATACGATACGTATCCGTTTATATCTTTAAAAATATTGATACAAATTGATACGAATTTTTTAATTTCGGCTAAAGGCCCAAAAAAAATTTCAGATCGGATCCAGGTCACCCAACTCGGTTCACTAAAACCTGCCCAAATTTATCCATTTTGCATGGAGAAAATGAAAAGGAAGATGTGTTGCCTATTTTGCATGATAATAATAATACAAGTGGAGATATAGATATTGACATTGATCTTTGAAATAATATGAATGGTTGAGAGGAAAAAATATAGATTCTTAATTTTGTGATTAATTTTGATTATGCAATACCATAATTTAAAGTCAATAATACCACAAAATTCGTTAATTAATCATGGGGATGATATTAATTTTTGGAAAAAAATTGTTATTTTATTAATTTTTTTTTTAAAAAGGCGTATCCTACGATATGATACATGATTTAAAAAATTAGGTTTTTGATACACAATACAATACGCGATTTGACAAACATGGTTCGGATGCCTAAAGCGAATCCTACATCCACTGTTATTTTATTATATGAGAGATTACAAGAGGTCGCGTATAGCGAACAGCGAGCAAATGTACAATAACTGAGTATTCAGAGAGAATATCAAGTTAGTCTCTTTCTCGTAGGTTATCTTTGATATGAAAATAAAGATTACAATCAGAAAGCGGGTTCAGTCTCAAAATCCCAAAAATGAGAGGAGAAATCCTCTATTTATAGTAGAGGAATTCAAGGTAATGATTACAAATCTATAAGTGGGTAGATGTCGTGCAAGTCCTTCCTTGCCTCTTATTGGCTGATAACTTAGGAAATATCCTCAAATTACCTGGGGCTTGGACAGGTGTGCGGCCTTCAATCACTTATAGATAAAACTTGAATCTGCCAAATTAATGACAGTCATACTTCTTCTGTCATGGAGCGACATGGCAGCTCTTAGGCGGCGCAAAACCTTCCTAAACTCTGATTAGTACTTGCTAACGTAGGATAGCATCAATCTTGATTTTTTAAGCATAACAATAATGATGGCAGCAAGATTCGTAATATGGCCCTTATTATTTATCATATATATCATAAAGTTTATGTAAATTGATTGGATAAAGAGAATGAATCCCGATCATTAGGAATTTTTTTGTTTTAATTTATTAATGTTGGTTAGTAACTTAAAACTTTCAATATAACATACGTTATTGAAATTAATAATCAATATGATGCACAAATTGATGTGTCCTGTATTTAGGATGACTAATCTAACATTTTCCTCTTAGATTTAATCAATTTTTTTTTACTCATCTACAGTATAACATCTATAAATTAATAATCTTAAGAACATATAAATCCTATTAATTAAAAGAGATATTAATTAATAGATAAATTAATAATTTATTCATTTGTAGAATGTATTTACGATTCAACGAACATATATTTAAATTAGAGATGAGATCCAATAAGATTCAAAGCATCAACAACACTTTATATTTTTTTTATTGCAATTCAAGGATTCAACCTGAAAACTTCTAAATGCAATGAGAAAAATTAGAGATGAGATTCAACAAGATTTAAATTTAAAAAAAAAAAAAGTTGCAATATTATCATATTTTAATAAAACATCATAGTCAATTAACAAATTATTTATTTATGGTATAAATGGGATCACATAATTACGTAAAGTTTTTTAATAAAATATTATTTTATTAATCAAAATTATCAATTTAACCTGCTAATCTCAATTGGAACCATAAGAAATTATTATATAACAGAGGTTAGTAATTTATCATGTTATATTATATGTATATAACTCTTAACACTGTTCTCTTATTTTATTCCTCTTCTAGAATGCAATAGAGCGTGAGACAAATTGAACAAAGACAAATGAGCTACAACAGAATAAAGAAGGTTCGGTTCAAGTCACGACAATTTGAACATTGATTCATCCGTCTTTAGTCTCGGTATTTTAACTTAACTGACAAACACAATAAATAATTAAACAAATTAAATCCATCTCTTGTAACCTTTTAGACAAAATTATCTTTAAATTCAAAATAAATTGTAACCCACCCAAGCTACCACCCCTACCCATCTGCCGCTGACAAGCCCCACCACAGCCAGCTGCCATTGCCATCGAAACGGTGCACAAAAGGAAAAAAATGGCCACAGTGCACCGATATGGCTATTTCTGACGAGATATCTGGCTAAGCCTTCCGTGCACCGTTAGGTTGCCAACTGCCTGCGGTGATTGTCGACAGCCAGCAGTGGTGGGTTGGTGGGGGTTTTTTTGTTGATTTTTTAAACTTTTATTATGGGGTTGTTTTTGCCAAATTTTTAAATATAGGGGAGTTATAATTATCCAAATAATAATCAATATTAAAAAATAATATAATAATAATATTTAATTAGAGAACAATTCAGTAATTTAAATAACATACCCACCAATTTATTCCTCTCAACCAAACATATTAATATAACATACCTACTAATTAATCAAACATATTTTCCTAAAGATTTCCAGTAATCTTCAAGGTAATCTAACTTTCCAGTAATCTAACATTCTCAGTAATCCAATATTGTCTGAACCAAACGTCTTCATAAGAGTTGGACATGGTTAAGTAAATTGGACCAGAAAATGAGCTCAGGCTCAAAAGAGTCCACTAGAGTTAACTACGAAGAAGGTTAGTGGATCCTGGAAAAGCCCAAGTGAAGAAAACCAACCCAAAAGGGAGAAGAAATTAACAGGATTGACAAGACAAAGATGGATGAATTGATATAGAAAAACAAAAAATGAGAATGATGGTGGTGTAAATGTCAAAATCAGAAATAAAATATAAATAGTAATAGTAATATAATNATTACCAAAACCATTAATCCAGTGCAAGGGTACAAACTATTTGTAGGGTTCAAATGATGCAGCTTGAGGGCTTTAACACTTAACACTACCAATTCTAGAGCCTACGGAATGTTCTAATAACAGTAAACACAAGAATTCTAATTTGTTAAGCATCTAAATCCTCACAAAATGTTATTTTTGAGGCACGTTATAAGAGAAAGTTATGAAACACAAATGGTCATACTTACTCAATGACACGTGTAACATGCTTCTATTCAAATCACGTCCTACATTGGTGAACACACAATCTAAAGCTACAACTCCTATAATCTACAGAAACTAGATACATGGAATACTTCTCGATCATACAAGACAGGAAAGAGAAAATGGATCAAACATTGAGAATTTCTTACTAGATCACCTCAAAATCTGCTGTTGTTTTCAATTAATTATTTTAAGAGGAGTGCTAGCGACAGCCACTAGCTTCCCCACGACACGTGTCCATTTTGAATAAAAGAAATTATATATTGTATTTGTCTTGGACACGTGTCGCGAGGAGGCTGACAACTATTGCACCTGTGACTGTTGCTAGCACTCATCTTATTTTAAAGCCATTGCACAACCTTTGACCAACCAATTGCACAAGATTCAGACTCAGCAAAGTGAAACCCTGCGGTTTGGTTTTGTATCAAAAAGACTCCATATAATTTCAAAAACATCAGCAAGAACCCAGCAATAGGAATAGCTCAGTTTGTTCTAACCATTGACTTGATTTAACAAAAAAAATCCTAGAATACTCGCTACTCCAGTACATATTAATGGGATATTTTATTCAACCAAGTTCCCAAAGTAAGAAATATTCTTGGAATTTCATCAGTCAAAACAAGGTAATAGTTAAAACAATTATAACTTAATGGCAGGAGAGACATTGATATTTTTAAAACCACAAAGGTTTTGATAATATTAGCCCAAACCTCAAGGGTCTAGGTAAATTTGCCTTGTGTTGTAACATATTCCTATTCTAGATTTACTTGTTATATACTTCCGAATCAAACTTAGGATGAAAACCACAAAAATTAACATTTCTTAGTTCATCTAACCCAAAACCTAATTGCTTCCTCTAACATGATAGAACTCATATACAGGAATTTGTCAGAATTAATATTAATATATAGCATACATGACCCATTTAACTATTAAAACTTCAGTTGGAAGCAACTATTAGCCTTCTTGTTGTATATTAGAATTTCTAAAGGACAAGAAGAAAAACAGGGAGCAATCAAAAATTAGGTTCAACCTATTTAAATCATAACCGTTTTGTAGTTAGCAGAAATACTTTCAGCATGGATGAATGCAAAATGGAAAATATATCAGCTGCTGTAAATGGAAAAATATGAAGAAACAGACCACAGCATACAACTTGCATCACATTGTACTTTGTAGTGCACATTCAGTCTTTAATATCCACATAAAAGAAGTTCAACACAAACATCACAGTGGTCCATCCTCAAATTCAATTGCTAACAAATCAATGGCTATCGCAAGCATAAGAAAAAGTGTGAGAAAAATTAAACTCTACTTAAATTTTCTTACTGGTTGATGCTCATCAATTTTCCAGTTATATCATATATGTAGCATATTGGAGATTCTAACTGTTATGTATTAAGAACATTTTTAGTAATTCATGAGATTTTAAGACAAAATACTTACCCACCGACCCACAAAGAAACTGCAAGAAGCATTGTCCCCACCATGATCCATTCATTTCTTGTGACAGGGCCCATACTTTCCAGCTTCTTTGCAGCTATAGCAGGGGCCTCTGGTGTGTCTTTGATTTCAGGAGGATAGAGGTTGTATAAGACAAGTGGAGTGGCTAAAAGACAAACAATAGCAGGTAAACTAGCAGCCTTAAACCAAAACACCCAAGGACTTGAAATTATCACTCCAATTTCCTCAGCCAATTTGAGGCACAGCAAATTTTGAGCAGCAGCAGTCAGGAATAGAGCACTAGAGTTTCCAGCAGACTGTTTTATATCACACAGAATCATTCAGCTATACAAGATAATGAAGATGTTAGCAGAGTAAGGAAATTGACAGATATTCACACACTGACTAAATTAGAAACAACAAAGAAATCAATTCATGGGCCTATTTTTCACTATCAATCTAAAAGATTGAAAGTAAAATTGATTATTAAGACCAAAAATTTAAAAAAAAAAAAAAATTGGAGCCGTTATTCTCCTCATAAATATGCCAAAACAGATCGTTTGAATATGCTGCCTAACCTAAGAAGAAAAGCCTGATGCCAGAGACAAGCAGCATCTACATCTAAAATCATGAAAATATAATTATTATCCATAACATGTGGGGAAAAAAAGTACCAGAAGTTGTTCAAGCTTTTGAAACAAAGTACTTCTTATATTTTACTTAATACTTTAGTCAAATTATAATCAAACAAAGAAATCTACTCACTAAACATTTTTCTTCCCTGAAAAACACAGACAATTTGTTCACAGATCCAAGCCAACATCAGATTAAACATCAACAACCCCAAACACATGGCCCCTCCAATTGAACGAAAGAAAAAGTTCGAATGGCATAACAATAAAGGAACAGATAATAAATAATACCAATCCACCAAACAACACTTACACATAATACAGCAACACTAACCCATAATAAAACAGATTACGAGGGTTTTGCATCCCACCACCATTACTGGGATGGTTTTAGTAGCACAAGTAGTTGCATTTTCCACACCAAATAATTAAAAAGTAATCAATTGTAACACAACAATCTTTAGAGTTTTACTAAACGTTACCATCTTTATTTTATCTAAATCACAAATTTCGATAAAACCCACAAGAATTAAATTAAATTAAAAATTAACAAGCACTAACCTGAAACTGAGACTGAACAAGATAGGAGCCGAGCTTCCTTGAAGAGGAATCCCCGGGCTTACTTCCAGCTGACAACGACAATGACTTAATAATGGGCAAGAAAACACCCCCAGCTCTCGCTGTTGTACTGGGCATAGCCGGAGCAATAAGCGCCTCACTAAAAGTCAGTCCATACGACAATCCCAATGTACTCTTCCCCAACCACTTCACAAAATACGTCGCTATTCTATCCCCCAACCCCGTCTTCACAAACCCACGTGCGAAAAAGAACGAAATCACGATCAACCATATAACCTCATTGGTGAAAGCACTGAATGCCGTCGAAAACGTCAGCGTTTTGGTCACTATCGACGTCGTTAATCCCAGAAACGCCCACGCACCTACCGGTAACGGGCTCAAAACAAGGCCCGCGATTGTGGAGACAAAGATTGAGAGGAGTTGCCAGCCCTGTGGGCTGACTTCAACCGGCTTGGGGATTACAAAACGAACAATGAGACCGATTGAAATTGAGATAATTAAAGGGAGGATCTTTGCTCCTTGTGGCGGAGATGGGGGTGTCGTTTGAGTTGCGGGGAGAGTAGACGACGTGTCATTTTGAGAGGAGTGGAGCGTGAAGTGTGATAAAGAATTGCGGTTGTGGGATTTGGAGAGGGGAGTGAAGAGAAGGGGAATGGAGAGTGATCGGAGGGCGGGAGACGGGGAAATGGAGGGTGGGGATTTGAAGATGGGTTTGGGAGATGGATGGTGGAAAAGGGAGGAGCGAGAGGTAAGAGAGAAGGAGGAAGTGGTGGTTGAGAGAGAGTGGAGGGCAAAGCTCTCCATTGTGAACCGCGTTCGTGTTTCAGAGAGAGATCACAGAGGATGTCAAATGTGCGGGAAGTGCGAAAGAGAGTGGTGGGTCTTGCGGGGCAGCGGAAATTACAAAGGATGGATGGATTTATTTTGGGCTTCACTAATCCTCCTCAATGTTTAGGGAGGCAACAAAGAAACCCAAGCGTTTCAAAAAGTAACAATTGCACCTAAAAAGTCAATGAAACTCATTACTTTTATCATATAAAGACTATAATGGCCTTTGTCAGTTTTTATTTGATTATACAAATACAAATAGTAATATTCATTAATTAATTTCATACAATAAATTAATAAATTAAATTAAATTATACAGTTTGTTGATGTTGGATTTTGACACCAACTATTCGCACGTGCAAAGTGCTAAGTTGACTTAGAAATTACACATGAATGGAAAAATAAATGAATAAAAGGGAGACGATTTTTAAAGTGGTTTGGATGTTCAAAGCAAATCCTACGTTTACTGTCTTTTTTATAAATGAAAGATTACAATCAAGTCGCAAGTAGCGATAAGAGAAATAGAAATACAGAGAAGGAGAGTGAGTGTTTATGTTATCGGAATCAGAATCCTGAAAAATGAGAGGGGAGCTCTCTATTTATAGTAAGAGGGTTTTGGGTAATGATTACGAGTCTACCAACAAGCAAGTGTCGTACAGTTCTTACCCTGTTTCCTATTGGCTAGTTGCACAAAAGATATCCTTAAATCGCGTAGGGCTTGGGCAGGTGGGTGACTTCCAACCACTCACTAGCCAGGCCTTTACCTGCCAAGTTGACGACAACCTTACTCCTTATGTCCTTGGACGTCATGGTAGCGCCTGGGCAGCACAATGCCTTCCTGAACTCTGATTGGTCCTCGCTGACGTAACCCTACGTCAGCCTTGATTTTTTAGGTATAACAGAAGCCCCCCAGTTCCTAAGGTTCAAGGCTTGAGCTTTGAAAACTTCATGATTATGCCATGATTTGACTCATCCTGAGGATCGCTTGCTCGAACTGCAAGTGGAGAATGGTTGAAAATAACACGAAGTTCACGATTTTACTCGACTAGCGAACTGAGTGGAGGTCATGATGTGGGGCTTTGCGAATTGCACAAGCGACCTGAGGTGATCGTCCCCTAAAGGTTCAACGACCTGGTGTCGGATCCTGCTCAATGCTATACCTACATGCTTCAAACTTTGCCCATTACTCGCGTCCTAAAAACGCTTAGAATATTTTCATCGAAAATCGAAAGTCACTTCGCTTCGAGCTCAATACACGGAGAAGAGTGTTTCATTCAAACGACCTCTTCAGATGTTATCCGTTGCGCTTGACAGCTGGCCTGGTCAATAAAGTAAGATTTATCTGACAGACATGTCTTTGCGTAATAAGTGTCAACCATAAGCATTAAATGCAAGTCATGTTGAAACGACATTCTCTTTTAAAGCATTAAATGCGGATGAGGACACATTTAATGTAGTGGAGATAACTACGCTGACGTTTGGTGTCTTCAACAGAGGGAAACATCGATTGATCTTCACGAAGCGTGAAGGTTACTCATCACAAGGATTGGCAACACGTGATCGCATTCAACGGCTAGGAACGTGTCCCGCCCAAACGTCGCTTGCAATGGAAACCAAACGCCGCCTCCTTCCCTATAAAGCCCTAAACCCTAAGCCCGCTTCAGGATTTTTACAGAACTTAAATCTTCAGAGAGAAAAACAGAGTTTTTGCACTCAAGAAACCAGTTCATCTGTCTTCCAGTTGATACGCACTCGCCATTACGATAGAACGTTCGTCCCCAGCAACCAAGAGGTAAGGGAAACTCTTCCCTTTCTTCTTTTCATTCCTGTTAAAAACTCGGTTCTTTCACAGCAATGGTGCGTTTAAACACCTGCAAACTTACATGATGCACATTCTTGGGTAGTGTTAAAAAGGAACACTCTTAAGAATAGAAAACCTAAGGCAAAAACGTTTAGGGTTTTTAGGGGGTAAGTAAGGAAAATTAGGGTTTTTCTTACTATTTCAAGTCGTCGTATGAAACACTGTGTACAGAGACTGAGTCACCTCTACGTGTTGCACCTTTTCAGACTTTAGGAGCAATGGACACTTCAGAGATGAGAGCAACCAAAGGAACAAGCTCGCAACCCCTGAGCACCTCGATGGGTCCCGCACAGGCAGTGGTATCAGCAACCACTACAGATGAGATTCAAAGGGCGATAGACCAGTTTGCAATCAACGTAAACATCTACCAACATAGGTCAAACACCACTCAGGACCCTCCAGAGGGAATGGCTACGATCTCAAAAGCAATCTTCAAATGCAGGGTGACGATACCTTTTCACCCCTTTATCAGATCGATCCTCAACCACTTCAAGGTCGCACCATTCCAACTGACGCCCAATGCATATATGATAGCGATTGATATGTATATTGCATGCCACAAACACGAATTCGGCAAATTATGCGCTTACTACTTAAAGAAAAGCAAGGACAACGATTCCTTCTATCTCTCGAAGCGATCTATAATCGAAGGAGGGATATTTGGTTACCCTAGCAACGTTAGGGCTTATGATACCAAATATTTCTTCTTTGAGTACGATGGCATTTGTAAATTTAGGGAGCCGAGCAAGTTTTTCCCTTTTATTTTCCAAACTGACTATCATTTCCTTTAACTCTCTTTTAGTAGTTAAGACTGATAGAATTTTTCTTTTTCGCAAAGAACAAGACGACCAGGTTATTGGCTCTAGCAGATTTTAGCCGTATCGAGGCATTTGGTTCGTTTACCCGATCAGAGTTACAACGCAAAACTGCTCCAACCCGTAACTATCTTCGTATCTAAAAGAACTTTTAGCCTTGTACCAAAGATGACTTTTTTGCTAACACAATTTCATGGCGTGCAGCAACCATGCAACCAAGGGTTTCAAAGCCACTGACAAAGGCTAGGAGGTTTGTATTCCCCCAAGTTAACCCAACTGAGCCAGCCGAAGTGACCCCTGATTCCATCCTCGGCCTGTGGCTGCTCGTGCCACAAAACAGAAGACTATGGGCCATAAGACCAAGAAAAGGAAACAATTGACCGCCGATGAGGAAACGGAGTTGGAGCCAAAGGGCTTTGGGATACTGCTGGAGAGAACTTAGCCTTACCCCGTCACTTGCTTAGGAGTGCCCCCAAAGGGTGGCCTTGGCACTTCGGCGACCCCTGGGAGCTTGTACAAGGGAGCGGGAGTGACCACAGCTGCCTAGAAGAGAGGGTACAAGCAACGGGTTGAGGATGTACCTACCCCCTCGAGACCAAACCCGTTCATGCTGGATTCCCTAGGGCAATTGCCAGAGAACTTGTAATCGATAATGTACACCCTACTGGAATGCCAACTTGTCATGGCCTTCGAGGAGTTCGTGTCTTCTACCCGCTCCAATTGCACAGTCAGGTAAAACCCATGTTCTCTTTGAGAACTTTCTTAGCTTTTTATGATTTTGAGAAAAAGAAACTAACTTTTGTCTCTTTTCCCATGCGATCCACGGTCGCCCTGACCGTGGCCCAACAGAAGATTGATATGGACTCTGCCGGCAGACTCCATGAGCTGAAGGAGGAGAATACCAAGCTGAAGCAAAACCTTGCGGCCATGGATGTAGAGGCTAAAACGGCTCGCATCCAAATAGACCAGTACCTGGCAGAGAGAGATTCTACACTTCGGGCTACAGACTTTCAGAAGGTCGAGCTTGAAAAGAGAGATGGAGATGCCAAGGAGCTCTAACGGACAATGGCAAGACTCACCAAGGAGCTGAGCGAGCGAGCGAGAGAGAAGGAGCTAAAGATGAGCATTGATTACGCGAAGGCGATGAAGAGAATCGGGCTCAGCTGTGGGAGAACTCTAAAAAGTAGAAGATGGCGATGGAAGCAGACCTCGAGCTGTCTCAGGGGCGAGTCACTTCATTGACTGAGCAGATGAAGCAACAAAGCCTGAGCTCGAGAGGAAGGCTACTCATTGGTCAATACAAGCCATTTACAGCTTGCGGTCGAGGAACCCAGAGATAGACATCTCCGACCTTCCAGACGAATACCAGTCCATCCTTATTTCCATGCTTCAAGCTGAAAAGGCCAAGCAACAGGAGGAACAAGAACCTCATTTGGAAGATAATAAGCCAAACATTCCCAAAGATCAGGCGGACGATCCAGAGGCTGACGATCGTCTAGAGGATCGGGAGGTCACGCCCGGGGGGCCTGGAAATGAAGACTAATGATTGCTCTTTTTTTTTGTTCTTTGGAGTTCTCCTAACTTTTAAATTTTGTAACTCCTCATCGCCTCTTATACATATTTTCTCATTATATAAAAGGAACTTTTGGTCACTTATGATAGTACTTGTATAACTTAAGCATTCACAAAACAAATATAACTTATCTGACCATTGAACTTGCAAAATGTTATAAATAACAAGATTATTAACAAAAAGACTTGAGATCACGACACAAGTTTCTTTTTTTTTAGAAGAAGCAGAATAATCTTATTCATAATACTTATCAAAAAGAAAATTTTACAAGTAAAAAGAAATGATCAAAGCTATAAGCGAGTTTGGAATTACTAATAATAGGGGCGAAGATGCTCAGCATTCCAAACTCGTGGCATTTTAGAACCGTTAAACCTTTTAAGGTGATACGTCTTAGGTCGTATTACATTTGCGATGTGGTATGGACCTTCCCAGTTGGGTCCCAATACCCCCGCACTCAGTTCCCTTATACCAAGAAGGACTTCTTTCAGAACAAGGTCACCAATCTGAAAGTCTCTTCTCTTGACCTTGGAGTCGAAGAATCTTTTTGCCCGTTGTTGATCGGAAGCTATCTTTAACCGAGCTTTGCCGCGGTGCTCTTCAACCAAGTCCAGACTTGTGCGCAAGAGTGCTTCAATGTCTGCCTCATTGAAAAATTCCCTTTGAAGTGAACCAGTTCCTACTTCCACTGGAATCATCGCCTCGCAGCCATACGCTAGCGAGAAGGGTGTTTTCGAAGTAGAGGTTTTCGAAGTTGTCTTATATGCCTATAGGACTTCTGGGAGGTCATCGGCCCAATTGCC